GGAGAAGCGCAAATCCAGTGAAGCTACAACTGCGAGCGCAGTTACAGGAGTTGGATGTGCTGCACAATTATGTGTATGGATCCGTTGACTTCATCAGCAAGCAGGCTGCTATTGCAAGGCTTGCCTGAGCAACCTTGGCTAAAACTTGTGCACCGGCGCCATTGTTTGCCTGCCGTCTCAGCTTGCCAGCAATCCAGCTGGCATCGCACTTCACATACAGCCAGGGCGATTGCAAAACACGATGTACAGCAGTGCACACCGCATAACATCACAGATCACAGACCGTACAGCAGCGCATTTGTGTTGTTTGTACGACAGGATTGTCGATCGTGGCTGCCGCGACGACCCATGTCGCGATGCCCCCCAGAGCACTTCTAGATTATTGAGCATGCGGCATGACGACCAGCACACCCCGACAGCCCAGGCGATCCGCACGGTATAATTACCCGGCAGGTGCGAATGCAAGACGAGAGCCACTGGTTGTGCGTTGCGTGCGCCACACAGGATGTGCATGCGATGTACCTAATTATGCTCATTCAGAGCCTGACCAGCTTGCCTGATTGTCAGCCCCTACCAATCCTACAATGCCGTGCAATCATGTCTGCAACGACTTAACTCCAGGGCCTCAAACACACCCGCCAGTCCGCCCCACCTCGCACCTGGCGTACACGTGTGCCGCTGCTTAGAGATGCCTGCCGTGGTCCCCTGCGTCGGCAGCATGACAGCGACCTCCGCATACCATATCGCTTGGCATTGACAGTGTACTGCCTGCGGCACATTGGAGACGTGGTGCACTTTGCATGTTGGGGAGCATGATCGGCAGTGGCCAACAGCGATCTGTTGGCGCGCGCCGTCGTCACCAAGGCCAGCCGCAAAGCTGCGCCGGGTAGAGCAGCGAAACATGTACAAGAAGCACGCGTGTTTCACTTACGTACATGATTTTGTTGTCCGACAGAACATTTGCTGCACCGCCTGGCGGGCTGCCAGGACGCGTTTGCACTTGTGCGCCAGCCCGCAACTTGCTCGCTCTCTTACTGCCTAGGGGGCACCAGCAGCCATGGTGTCGCTCAAGCTGCAGAAGCGCCTGTCGGCGAGCGTGCTGAAGTGCGGCCTGAGGAAGGTCTGGCTCGACCCCAATGAGGTCAACGAGATCTCCATGGCCAACTCGAGTGAGTGCGGGATGTTTGAGAGACGTTTTGAGGACGGGGACGCGGGCTGGGGGCCGTCGCTCCGGAAAGCAGCACTGCAGTGCAGAGGAGGCGGCTTTGTATGTGTGCCGGCTTGCTGCTGCCTGTGCATGGCTGCAGGATTTGTTAGTAGCGTGGATATAGCACCGTACAGGGCGCTGCGAGGGCGGTGGCGTGCGCTGGAGGGAGTGGTGTGCCACGGAGCAGCAGCAGGATCGATGTGTAGGCCGGCCTGACCTGTCTGGACCTCCTGCTCGGCGGCCAAGGCTTTGGATAGGTCACTTATGCTCTTCGAGCCCAGCAACGGGTGTGCAACAGCAGCGATGTGACGACTGGGGGCCCTGTGCTGCTCGTCTCGCTCGGCCCCTCTCTGCACCTGCAGGGCAGAACATCAGGAAGCTCATCAAGGACGGCTTCGTGATCCGCAAGCCGCAGATCATCCACTCGCGCTCGCGGGCGCGCGCAGCGGCGGAGGCCAAGGCCAAGGGTCGCCACAGTGGCTACGGTGAGCGTTGATGATGGCAGTCAGCTGCGGCTGCATGCGCTCTGGTAGAGCTGCTGTCTGGTCATCGGGCTGCTGTTGTCCCCGGGCAAACGGCGGCGGCCCTGGATAGGCACAACCTGCTGCACCACGCAGCGAGCACGGGTGGCAGGCATGCCGCTGCACCAGGAAGCGGCGTTGCAGTGATGCGACAGCCGCTGCTTTTGTCCAGTTTTTTTCCAATACTTTGCTAAAATAATGCACCTGCTGCATGGCATCAACAAACCTCAGGGAAGCGCCGCGGTACCCGCGAGGCGCGCCTGCCCACCAAGCTGCTGTGGATGCGCCGCCTGCGCGTGCTGCGCCGCCTGCTGCGCAAGTACAGGGACAGCAAGAAGATCGACCGCCACCTGTACCACGAGCTGTACATGAAGGTGCGCAGCAGTCTTGTGGATGTTTTGGCTGGACCACGGATTTTTTCATGGTGCTCATGAGTGGCAGAGGCACATGGTGGCAGGCACAAGGTCATCAGCACCGAAGCAGCGAGCCAGGGACTGGTCGCAGCTGGGAGGTTTGATGGCAGCCAGTTTGCAAGTGGCGGTGGCAGCTGGTGTGGAGGCAGGACGGGTTCAGCGAGGCTAATGGCTGACACAGCAGGCTAATGGCTCAGATAGCAATGGCACAGCAGCAGCACGCCAGCAGCACGCCAGGCGAGCTGGAGGATACCCGGATGGCTGCCCCTGGAACAGCTCCTGTACAGCAGCAGGGAACTTTTATATGGAACGTCATGGAACACGCAGTTGCAGGAGCTGTGGCCAGCGGTGTGCAGTCTTCGGAGCAGCGCAAGTGAAGGCTGAGTGCGATGCAGCAGGGCGGCAGTGTCCATCGCAGCCCAAAGGCAAGGCCCCCACCAGCAATTTGGTTACGGTCCCCAGCTGAGCCTTGCCGGCGAGCCTGACAACCCCTCACTCTGTGTGCGCACCTGCTCAATCATTCACCCCCCCAGGTCAAGGGTAACGTGTTCAAGAACAAGCGCGTGCTGATGGAGGCGGTGCACAAGCAGAAGGCCGAGAAGGTGCGCGAGAAGAACATCGCCGACCAGCTCGAGGCCCGCCGCGTCAAGAACAGGGCCAGCCGCGAGCGCAAGGCCGCGCGCCGCGAGGAGCGCATCGCCGCCGGCGTCACCGCCGAGGTGCCCGCCGCGAAGCCCGCGGCCCCGGCGCCTGCGCCCGCCAAGGCGGCCGCCAAGGGCTCCAAGAAGTGAGCGCGCCGCCACCCAGCACGGCGGCGGCGCTGATTGCTTGTCCAGTCCGAGGGTGCGGCCGGCGCGCAGCCGGCGCTGATCTGGACTGGGCAGCGCAGCGCATGAACCGTGGCGGTGGAGGCGAGGGGCAGCGTGCGCACATGCGCCAGGCGGCAACAGCTGGTGTGCGTGCGTGGCCCTGCAGCGGCAGCGGCGGCTGGCTGAGGCATTTGGTTGTGGAACCAGCGGCGCAATGATGCGTGTTGATGTACAATCGCGTGTAATGCCTCACAGCCATCTTCACGCGTGGTCTCTGAGCTAGGGCATGTGCCTTGCGCGCACCTCAGCTGTTGTATGGCACAGACAGCGGCACTGTCAAGTACGTTGCGGCCAGGTTTGGCAGCAGCTGTCAGTTGTGCGTGCTGGTGGCACCATGTGTTCAGCTGCGGGTTCACAGCAGCCTCATGGAATTACAGCAGCAGTGTGGCACTGCCTACAGTCACTTCGCTGCCGCGCCACGCGCCGCCAGCCTCGAACTTGCCGGATTGCATGAGGCCGCTGCCGCTAAAATAGTGCGTCCCTTGAACCTGAGTTCGGCATGGGCAGGGGCACAGTTTGTTGAAGATAACGGTAGCTCCGCGTTGCCACCATCACAGACTGCAGTGTGGCCACAAAGCGGTAACCCCTCCCAGGCTGCTGCAGCACCGTGAAAGTCAAAATGAAAGCGGGGGCGCAGCGCACCGGCTTTGATGCCTCGAAGGTGCCCGCAAACATGCTGCCGTCGCGGTGCATAAAGCGGCCCTCAATGAATTCGCCGCCCTCCCACGCGCCGTGGTACTGCGCGCCATCGGCCTGCGGCAGGCCGGAAGTGCGGCTGTGCAACGGCCGACATGACAGCGGCTGCATGCGCGCATGATGCAGACCACGCGCTGTGTTCTGGTTGTGCAGCGCGCGCCCATAATCTACCAGCAAGTGAAGCTGCTGCAGCCCAGCCGCTCAGTCACCGGCTCATGTTCGATCCGAGTCACACAACTCACGGCATGTAGCAGCCAGGTCAGCTGCGCCCACCTTGCAGTGGTACACACCAGCGCCGTCCTTCTTGCCCTCCTTGAAGCTGCCACTGTAGACGTCGCCGCTTTTGTATGTGTACGTCCCCTCACCCTCCATTCGGTCTGCCGCCCAGCTGCCTGTGGGTGGCAGGCAGCAAGCGGAGGGTCGGGGGCTGGCACGCCTGGCTGCTGTGGCGGAAAGTCGCCCTCTGCAGCTTGTGCTGCACATTCTTGACACATGGTCCTATATATTGAAGAGCACCCTCGACGACAACTGAGATGGTGGTTGTTTATTCAGGCCAAGGCGCTTAGGCTAGTACAGGTGTCAAGCCTTTCATGCAAGGGCGGCTCACCCTCGTATTTGCTGCCATCTGGGAATTTCATTGCGCCGCGCCCGTGCCGCTGGCCGCTGGCGTAGTCGCCTTCGTACACCGCCCCGCTGGCGCCAAAGGTGTACTTGCCACGGCCGTGGCGCACGCCGTGCTCCATGCCACCTGCAGTGCAGGTGTCATCGTGTGCACGGGTGACGCCGCGGTGCTGGACTGGTGCGGTGCGGCAATTTACCGAAACTCAATTGTGAAGCCTCTCTTATGGATGGCTTCAGAAGCTTGATAAAGCGCGCACATGGGTGCCGTGCAATGCCCAAGGCTGATCGACTCTTACTTGGTGAGTCTGCTGCTGCACATTTGTGGTACATGCCATACCGTCACATGCAAAAACAGGTGCGACCAGGAGGTGCCTCTAAGGCCGTTTTCACCTTGCCCAGGGCACCTCAATACAAAGCTCAAATGGCGAGCAGCACCCTACCTATGTAAGTGTCGCCCGGCTTTTCCTCCTCCTCCTCGTTGGCTGGTGGCGGTGCTGGGTAAGTCATTTTCCCCTGCGCCAGAACATTATCAATTAGTCGTGGCACAGCATTGCCCCGGCGGCGACACAGCTCGAGCTGTGCAGCAATGCACTGTTTGGTGGCCCTGGATGGCTGGCGTGCCTGCATGCTGTGTGCCACCCAAGCTCGTCGGCTCACCTGACCATGTGGTAACCCGTCTGCGTCAAGCGGCCCTTCCCACACCTGCGTAGTGCGTCATACAGTTTCGCTGACCTCGCGGTTGACTGTGATCTGATGCATGAGTTTGAGGCGAATGTATTGGAAGTTCAAATAATAAACAACGGCTCACCGGCTGGCGCGCTGCTTCGTCCTCAGCCATGATCTCGCTGCTAGCTCAGAGTCCCGCGATGTACGCAGCTTGAGAGTGCATGAAGGGTTGATGGATTAAATGGTACTATATAACTTGGTATACGTACAGTGAGATGCCTTGAGCACCCGCACGTGCTGCTAGTCGTTGCACCAGGAGCAAGTGAGCAAGTGCTCTGCTGCCGCTGCTCGGGATCCACATCAGCAATACCGACTCAGACTGCGCTCTTGCATCCTTACTGTACCCAAGAGCTGGCGCTGGTGTCAGCGCGTGATAGATGTTTTGGCAGCCAAACAAATGCATCTGGCTGCTGCTGCTCCAATCTTGTTACAATCATACAATCAGGCGGAACAAACTGGACAGTGGCACTCCCCTGCATGTTGAACTTTTGATTAGTTCCGGTTCAAAACAAATTGTACTTCTGCTTTGTCACCTCTGCAAAAATGTCATGCACACAAGCTTGGGGCCAAAACGGTGAACCTCATGAATCCAAATGTTTGCACTAGTGGCTGCCATCAAACACAAAGACAGCACGCTCCCAGCCTAACACCACAAACCCAAGCACACCCATCTGCCTAGTCCCTCTTCCTCAGGCCAGGCATGGGCTGATCCTCGTTGTCCTCCAGCCACTTGCGCATCGCCGCCGCAGTCTCGGGTGACAACCCCCGCGCGGTGGCGGCCGCCTCGCTGCCGCCGTCGAACTTGAAGTACTCCGGGAAGTTCCGCTTGTAGTAATCGTTCAGCCGCTGCTGCTTGCGCTCTTCGCGCTTCTCCTCGGTGCGGCGCAGCAGCTCTGAGCAGGCGCCAGGGCGAGTGCGAGGTGGGGCGCGTTGCTGGGGGAAAGCAGACTTCGCGGATGGATATATGCTGGACACAATCCGCTGGTGTCACTGCGATGGCTGGCCGTTGAACACAGCTAAATGGCATGTACGCAAAGAGAACCTGCGCACAACCAGCGCCTTCGCACGACCCCCTCATAAATCAAAACAACGCCTGCGCACCCTGAATGAAGGGCGAAGTGTCGTTATCCACCTCCTTGTTGGTTGGGCGCTCCAGCTGCGCCGCCGCCGGGCCCGCCGCTGCCACCGCGAGCGTGCTGAAGCCCAGAAGCAGCATCGCCCGCCGTCCCCCGCTGGTGCTGGCGTCCACGCTGGTGTTGCTGGGGCTGGATGCGACGCAACGCGCCGCCACCATGCTCCTCGAAACACGTGGTGCGCCCGCTGCGTGCAGGCCCGGAAGCTGACCAACACGTTTTGTGCTCAGTGTATGCATGACGTGACTCCCCAGCACAAATGGTTCGAAGAGCGAGGTGCGAGGAGTGCCGGAGGAGTGTGTGCAACCAGATCTGAACAGGCGGTGTGTGTGAGGTAATGATTGCAATTTACAATGCGCTAAGGATGCCACGGAGCTTTGTCGAGCTCTGCCACTGTCACTTTGCCTGCGTCTCCACGCCTTCGTGATGTAAACTTGAATTCAGGAAGCTCGGTTCGCTTGCAGTGTCCCTCGGATCGACATAACAAATGAATGCGTGGGCATTGCTGTAGGCCCCACATTATAGGCACTTGGCGCCATTTTGATCTGTATTGTTTGCAGCACGTACACAATCGAGAACGTGGCTGCGCTTGTTTATAGATCACAGCAGAGTGAGATACATGCCGTTGTGTTGCACCGCATCGTAGTATCACCAGGCAGTAGTAGCACCGCGGCGCCGCGCACAGCATGCAGTTCCTGCGCACCCCGAAGGAGCGGGAGCCGCCCAGCCCGGGCACGGGCCTGGGCGGGGGCAGCTACTATGAGCTAAGCATGTACAAGGAGAGCCCTGCGGGCGAGGTGGCGCTGGAGGAGTTCGAAAAGATCGCACTCGACCGCCTGCGAAGTGAGAACCAGTGGCGCAGCGGCGGGGCCGTGGTGGATCTGCAGGACGAGGCAAAGCATGCGGGCCAATTCAGGGCGCATGAGACTGATAGCTGTGCAGCGCCCGGCCGATGAAAATACGATGAAACGAGCACATTAAAACAAGGGGTCGCCGGCTTGTGCAGTGTGCCTCGTTAGCGGCTGCAGCGGCAGCGCGGGGGCCGCGCATGATGCCGCCGTTTGCGCTCGCTGCGGCTGCCCTCCCACCCACCAGTCTTGAAAGCCCTGGAGGAGTCCAAGCTGCGCAGCAAATCGGACGAAGCCATACAGGATGAGGTGAGTCCTGGTGAAAGAGCACTTCCCATCTCTGACGATTACATCTTGCGGCATTCGCAGCCAGGCGGTTGGCAGCAGGCAGCATCAACGCAGCGCTGACGGCACCAGTGACAGCCAGGCGGGCTTGCAAAAAGCGAACGCTGCCGAGGCTTACAATCGCTTGGCCGCAGCCCGGCCCGCGCACCCCTCGCGACGACCGGCCCTGCACACGCGCACGCGTAACCACCACGCACACGCACACCCCCACCTGCAGGTCAAGTCACTCCTCACGAAGCACAAGCTGCGCGGCAGCGGCGCGGCGCGCGCCGAGGCGGAGCGGCGGGACGTCATCAGCCACTTCATCCTGCGCCTGGCTTACTGCAGGTCTGCAGGCGCTGGCTTGGCACGGGCGGGGGCGCGCGTGCTGGTTGCCTGGGCGGGGCGGCCGCGCGCGGCAAGCGTGGAGGTCGCGCGCGTGAGGCCAGCGTGCGGGCCGCAGCGCCTGCGCCGGTCAGCTGCGGCACCCGCGCGCCATTGCAGGGCCGAGGGCATGGGATGACATTCTGCAGCCCTCGCTCACCCCCCAGCCCCCCGGCCCCCCAGCCCCACCCAACCCTGTCCCCTCCCCTCCTGCCCACCACGCCGCCGCGCCCCGGCCCCAGGAG